GGGTGGGGGGGTTGCTTTAAATATAAATGAATTAAATAGTACTTTTGGTTGTGTTGCTCAGATACCGTGTAGTTCCACTTTAACACTAGTTGCATTTAAAAATACCTTTATACATACTGTAATTGTAGTAATTTTGTTTTTGTAGTTAGTAAAATAATGTTGCCATCATAATAAACAACTTTTTATATATAAACATTTTCATTTGTGGCAATCCTGAGACCTGAAAACACTGGGCTTGTTTATTAATTTTCCCAAATAAAACCTGTAATGCCCTGTGTAGTATAGGAGGTTTGTCTTTTTTGCTATAATTTATGTTGTGAGTCATCCACTTTTCTGTTCTTTTGACAGCTTTGTAAAGAGCGGTAAAAAGTGCAGATATAATAAGTGTCTGAAAAGATCCAAACATAACATGACTGCTCCTTTGTGAGCTTTGATTTTAAAAGATAAGTGCATGTAAACCTTTTTATATACACTCTGCTTTTAAAAGATAAGTGCTTGTAAACCTCGTGTGTGCATGTGTGTGTGTGTGTATATGTATGTGTGTGTGTGTATATGTGATATATAATATATATATATATATATATATATATATATATATATATATATATGTGTGTGTGTGTGTGTGTATATATTACACATTTTGATTTTAACCACTTCCCGTCCGGCCCATGTATATAAACTGCTGGACGGGAGCAGTGCAGGAGCGGGTGGCCGTTTTATAAACGTCCTCCCCGCCTGTCCGCGTTCCCCTGGAGCATGCGGCACCAGCATCCGGAGGACACAGAGAAACACCGATCACTGTACGGGACCTCTGTGTGAGGTCCCGATCATGTGATCACTGATTGGCCAATCAGTGCTCACATGAATAGTAGTAAGCAAGATGTCACTTCTGACATTGCTTACTACATGTAAAATCTGTGAATGATCAGAGGTCACATGGTACAAGGCTATTCTTGTATTCTAGCCTTGTACCATGTGACAACCTGTGACCAATCACAGCTCACACAGTATTTCTCAATGGCTGCAAGAATGCAGCGAGAGAGGTGGAGATATGATTGCTTTTACAGCCTTTATGGGTATAAAAGCAATCAGTGTAAAAAAAAAAAAAAAAAAAATCTTCATCACCCCTCACAAGTAGTACAGTGTCACTATGGTGACACTGTACAGCTAGGGCGACAGCAAGTTAAAAAAAACACAAATATAAAAAAAAATAGAATTAAATTGTAAAAACAAAATTTGAAAAATATTTGGTTCTAAACTAATTTGGGTTTTTTTTTTTTTTTTTTTTTCTTACTAAAAAGATAGCTGAATACATTTTGGACAAGATTTATGAAGAAAGATATATAATATTTTTGCTAAATTTTATAAGAAAACCTTTTCTTTTTTTTTTCAAAATTTTTGGACTTTTTCATTTATATAGCAAAAAAATAAAAATCCCAGTGGTGAATAAATCTCACCAAAATAAAGTTTTATCTGTCTCCAGTAAATGCTAAAAAATTCATATGGGTACAGTGTTGCATGAAAAGCAATTATCACTCAAAGTGTGATAGCACTGAAAGCTGAAAATTGGCCTGGACAGGAAGGGGGTAAAAGTGTCTGGAATCGAAGTGGTTTTAAAGCAGTATTCCACCCCAAACCAAAAAAGTATTATATTGCAGCTAACCAATCCGATGTGGTGGGTGGCTGCATCAGTCTTTCTTCCTCTTTTTTTTTTTTTTTTTTTTTTTTTTTTTTTTTTTTTTTGCTTTTTCCTCTCTCTCACCCAGTGATTTGATCAGTAGCACACCTCCAGTATTGGTGAAACACCACTGTGAAGGAATGAGCACAGTACACAGCAGACGGTAGCATTGTCAGTCTGGGGCGATAACAGATTGAGCCAAACCCCAGCTCACACTTTTATCAGTTACAGCAAACCGTTTTTTCTGTTTAGGATAAAGGTTTTACGTGAATAAATAAAATCAGATCATTTTAATAATCCCTGCCAGTGGTAAATAAATGGTCTCATCCATGTAAACTGATACATTCTGCTGGAGAACTCAAGTTTCTGAAACATAGTAGGCTTGCTGGCTGAATCACCAGATGAAAAGAGAAAGAGAGCCTAAACAAAACAGTCCTAAACAGTTCATCACCTTCCCTAGATGTAAAATTATTCAAAATGTTTCTCAGAAAAAAAAACTGAAGGGGTTTTGTTTTTTGTTTTTTTGTTAGCTGAAAGGTTTGTTTTATGCATTCTATGCATGAAGATAAAAAAGTCCCTGTGTGCTGCTCACCCCACAGCCCCCCCTAATGTCTTCCTGAGCCTGATCTCGTTCCAACGTGTACTGCACTGGAGCAGCGGCTCTGCTGGGTCTCTCTCTCCTCATTGGCTGAGACTCAGCAGCGGGAGCCATTGGCTCTCACTGCTGTCAGTCACAGCCAGTCTGGAGGGAGCAGGGTGTGAACCTCTGTGTGTTTTAAGAAGCACGCACATGCCAGTGTCCCCCAGAGCAAGTGCCTTGCTCTTGGTCCAGTTGGCAGGGAGAAGGGGCCAGGAGCACCAGCAGGGAAACCATGAAGAAGAGGATCAGGGCTACTCTGCACAAAACCACTGCACAGAGCAGGTAGGTATAGACATGTTTGTTTTTTTTTTTGTTTTTTTTTTACAAAATGAGCCTCTAGTGTTAAATGCACTTGAATAGGTATTAGAACATAAATAAAACGAATACAAGTGGTGCAAAAAATGTATAATAACAAAAAGGTCAATAAGAGTCCATCACATTAATAATACATGTATGAGAAACACTTTCCCATTTGCAGCACTTCTAGGAAGGCAGGACCTTGGGTGAACCCTGCTAGCCAATACATGTAAAAGAAAAGCGAGAGAGGTGTCACTGATTCAGTGTGATTAAATAAAAGTAATAATAAAAACATGCACTTATTGCACTTGCTGGAAGTAAAGAAGTGTAAATATGTTATGTAGCATCTACAGTTATGGTTCCTCAGGTTCTTATGCAGCAACCACATATAATCTCCCATCTTCATCTACTATATTCACCCCTTTTGAGTATAATTCTCACAAATAATCTGTCAATGTATCGCTTAAGAATTGTTTCAGGACACTCTTCTTCTTCCTCTTCTACAAGCTTTTTTAGCAGGTTGGAGAGGAGGTAAAAATAAGAGCAAGAAAAAAAAGATGCAAGCACAAAAAAATATTAAATATGTTGTAGTACCCATTGTCATTATTCAGTAAAGAACTGAAGTCAGCATTCCAGAGGGCACATGAGAAGGGACAGGGGGATCTGGTTTTTGGTATAGGAATTAGTGTGTGAAATTCGGCTACTGCCAGATGAAGGGTTTGGGAGTGAAAGTTAGATGAGTGAACCAGGATTGGGTGAAATATCCCCAGCAGTCATGAAAAACAGAGTAAGGAAAGTGAGATGGGAGTGAGCTTTTATAAAAATGCATATGACCCAAGTGTTCTGGATGGTTGGGTCAGCATATGGGCTCAGAATGAGAAGGACGATATATAAATAGGCTGAAGGGTATAGAAGAGGGCTATAGGAATGAGCCTAAAGAGAAGACACTGTTTTAGAAAGAGGTAGAGGGAATATAATACAGGGTGGGGGGAGAGGTAATCATACTGGAATTAAAAAAGCTGGTTGGGGAAATACAGGTTCACCTGCAGTCTGACAGGAGCACTGTTTGTGGATGTATTCTTGCTTGTGCCTTTGTTAAACTTGCAATGTAAATCTTTAGCCAAACAAGAAAACCTCTATGAAAAGTGCTTCTAACAGACTGCGGGTGAACCCGGGGCCATTCACCCATACCTGCATAACTGTCAAAATGGGGAAAATAGATTAGAATGACATAATCTTATGCATGTTTGTAATTCTATATTAGACATGGGGCAGCACCTTGTTAAAAAGAATCAATGTTAAGAAAAAAGGTTAATTACAAACCTTTAATGATATTGTAAATGTTGATATTGAATGTAAACATTCAAAGTATATCATGTTAATGTGTGCTGAAGTGTAACTGCATATTTGGCAGTTATTGTATTACACCTTTACTCTCTGATCCAGCGGGATATTGCCTATGTAGCCACACAGTAAAGGGTGTTGTCTCGCTGCAATCCACTATTTGGGTGACATAAAGCAGGTTCTGCACCACCATCTTGGGCCTCTTCAGTTAACTGCGTCTTCCATTTGCAGGTAGCCAGCTCTGATGCATAGGGCTTGTCCAGTGGCCGCTCTGTTTGTACATCCTGCAGCCTGCTTGGAGATGTGATGTGGCTATTCCAGGAGGCTGCAGGACCGGGGCAGTCATTCTGGCCTAGGCTGATATGGTGTTGGGCAAGGTGGGAATAGAAGGAAATATTTCCTGCAATTCAGCTTGAGGAGGGGTTGTTAAATTGAAACTAACTTACGCCATTGGCTTACACTACTGTCAATCACAGCCAGTGAGTAGGGAGCAGGGCCAAGCCGTGCTGTGTCTCTCTCATAGACAGAGGCGGCTCGGGAGTGAACACACACACTGGTGCCCCCAGAGCAAGCAGCTTGCTGTGGGGATACTCAGCAGGGGGGAGAGGTGAGGAGCGCCGGTGGGGGACCTGAGAAGTGGAGGATCAGGGTTGCTTTGTGCAAAACCATTGCACAGAGCGGTAAGTATGACATGTTTGTTTATTTTTTATGAACCTTTACAAACACTTTAAGTTAAGCTCCAGAATAAATAAAAACTTGCTAACTAAAAATAACACTGTATTTTCATTTGAAATCCTGGTAAAATGCAGAGTTGTTTTCAGTGTGTCAAATGTTTGACCTGTTAGAAAAATATGAAATTTGTCTCACTTGTAATGATATGCTTTCTATGTTTGATTCGTAAAGTGTTTGACCTACAGACTGTGATATCCTTTCTGAACACAACTGTATGTTTTGCTGTAGTGCTGATTACATTTCTTCTGTTTCAATTAGTCCTCATTTTCAGTGCCAGCAGTTTATATTGATTTGTTTGTTCCTCTGTAGAGGCCAACAGCACTAGCCAAGATTCTAGGAGTGTACAGGATTGGTTACAAGAATTCCCAGAATAACACAGAGAAGAAGTTGGATCTGCTAGTCATGGAAAATTTGTTTTATGGCAGAAAAATGGCACAGGTAACATCAGCACTACTATACATGCATTAATATGTTTTTAAAGGCAGTGTTATTTTGTAAGCTAAAAAAAAAAAATCATGTTGCTGTGGTTGGCTTTGTTAGGTTTTTGATCTTAAAGGTTCCTTGAGGAACAGAAATGTGAAGACAGATACCGGAAAGGAGAGCTGTGATGTTGTTTTGCTGGATGAAAATCTTCTGAAATTGGTGCGTGACAACCCCCTGTACATCCGGTCACACTGCAAGTCTGTTCTCCGAGCCTCCATACACAGCGACTCCCACTTCCTATCCAGCCACCTGATCATTGACTACTCTCTCTTAGTGGGCCGAGATGACACCACTGATGAGCTTGTAGTTGGAATTATTGGTAAGTAAATACATTATTTTGTGCATGCTTTCTTAAGTTTTTGTTGGTTTTCTTTGCCCTTTTATTAAAATTTTAAACATTCATGTATGATTGTACCTGATGCCAATGTTTTTTTAAAAAATATAAATGCTTGAATAGGCTATTCATTACTATTGGACATTTTTTGTGCAATTGGTGACTATTTTCGTACGTATTTTCTTATCTAAACCCACAACAGGGTGCTGATGCTTATGTACATGGTAGCATTTAAAGGTTGCTCATTTGGTAATAAGAGATCTACGGGGTATCCAGAACACATTCCTGCATTTTTTTTTTTTTTTTTTTACCACTAACACCATCTTGAATTGTTCACACAAATTATTATACATCCAGAGATTCATGCAGCAGAAACTGACATTTATCAAACCTGGCAAACATTGGTTTTGGTGATCCTGTGTCTTCTGTATTCTCTTTTCACTGTTCACTGACAGAAGTGGAACATTCTTCTACTGTTGTCACCATTTTCTTTAATACTTGATAAATTATGAATTCAGAGATTTACACACACAGCATTTGTATAGCACCAACAGTTTGTGCAACACTTTATAACATAAGGGCAGACTGTACAGTTTCAATACAATTCATTACAGGAGGAATCAGAGGACCTTGTTCATTGGAGCTTAAAATCTAAAAGGGAGGGTCAAATGATACAAAAGGTAGTTACTGTGGAAGATTAGCTGATGGAGAAAATAAAAAGTACACTTAGGTGGGGGCAGGATTGGTTTCTCTGAAGAAAAAGAATTTGCAGGGATTGCCTAAAAGTGGACAGAGTAGGACATAGTCAGACAGATTCGGGTAGGGAGTTCCAGGAAGCTGCAGTAGTCAAGGCTAAAGATGATCAGGGAGTAAATTGGCATGTTTGAGGTAGCAAGCTTTGGACAGCATTCATAGATTTCAGGGGACACAAGACTCCATTACGAAAACATAGTAGTCCCAAATATTCTCATGCAAAAAAGGGGACACAAGACTCCATTACGAAAACATAGTAGTCCCAAATGTTCTCATGCAAAAAAGTCCAAAGAAGATTTCCCAGATCAATATAAGTGCCTTAAAAGTGTAAGTGAAATCAATAGTGTGAATTCTGTACTTCATCGCCACAATGTGCTCCACCACTCCCACCATGAGTATTACTCACCAGATGGTTATGCCTCACATATAAATGATCGGCATAAATCGCTCTAGGTGTATTCCTTCTTATGGCGGTCTTTCATAAACACTGGCACTCAGAAATATTCTCAAAGGTGGCTGCTAGCAGGGGTACCGCAAACCCAATAGAATATTTCAACCTTCTGGCTCCAAATGTTTTTATGCAGACATACAACAGATACTCAACCTTTAGACAGTGATTGGTTGTGGGACCGAAAGAAGAGTTTAATTCACCCTGGCATAGGGGGACGGGTTGATAGTCGTGCCAAAAATCTTGACAGAGAAGTCAAGGGAAGGGGCATGTGGGGAAGTTTGAGGAAATGGTGTGACATCCAGACTATGTCTTTTAGTACATTAGTGATGCATGGGGCGGCTTGGTGAAGTGAGCTGGGAAATAGATTTGGGTGTCAGAAGTGTAGAAATGGTATTTAAAGCCATGGGATGTTATCAGATGACCCAGGGAGGTGGTGTAGATTGAGAATAGGAGAGGTCCAAGAACAGAACTTTGGAGGACCCTGATGGAAAAAGGAAGAGGAAGTAGAGTTGTGACGCTGAAGGTGCAGCGGGATAGGTAGGATGAAAACCAGTGAAGAGTACAGTTATGGAGGCCAAAGCAGTGAAGTTTTTTGAGGAAGAGTGGGTGATCAACTATGTCAAAGGCAGAAGTGAGGTTCAGGAGTAGGAGTACAGAATAATGTCCATTGGTTTTAGCCTTTAGTAGATCGTTTGTGAGTTTTAGGAGAGTAGTTTCTGTGGCGTGTTAAGAATAAAATCCAGACTGAGTGCTGGTACACATATATACGGATTGATTGTGGTTTGAACCTTATCCAATCTGCATGATGTGAAATAACATTTCTTCCTATGGTGCCTGTTCCCATATGTCCGGTGCACTGGCAGTTCAGATTGAAAGAGTCCTGTACGATTTCTGAGCAGTACAGTCCGGTTCAGGTGCGGATTACAGGCTATTTCCATTCGATTGCACAGAGCTGGTAAGCATACACCTGTTGTTTGATTGTAAAGTCTACAACTGTATTTTTCCACTTTCATGTTTTTGGGGCACAAGGGGGGCTTTCAAGTCTGGGGGTGTTTTTTAGTGCATGTTTTTGAGCGTTGGAGAAAAAGCCAGAAGAGTAGGAGAGATTGAAGATGTGATTTAGAGAGTGTAGGACAGAGCCAGAGAGTAATTGAAAGGAAACAAGGTCCAGGTGGTTAGATGGGCATTGGAAAAAAAGTTTAGTAACCTCATCTATATTACCAGGGTTGATTGAGGGAAGTAATGAATATACCTGTGGACATGAAATGTTAAGTCGGGGAGGTATCTGATACAATTTTTGATGAGGTCGCCACTGTACAGTGTCTTATTTTTGAAGTGTTTGGCAATCTGCTGGGCAGTAAGTGAGTGGGAGGAGGCAGTGAAGGACAAAGCAGAAGGTTAAATGTAGAAAAGAGTTGATGGGGACTGGATCAGAAGGTGTTAATGAGAGTGAAAAAATAGGTCTGCTTGGCAGTGTGGAGGCAGGAATTGTATTTTTGGTGGGCAGATTTAGATTGGTTGAAATCTGAGCTTTAGTCTTACACCACAGATGTTCAAGAACATGGCTATGTTTTTTGAGACTTCTGGTGTCATCTGTTTTGCCAAGGTTGTAGGGGTCGGAGTCTGATTCTGTTTGCAGTGAGAGGGGCGAGGGAGCACAGGCTGGATGACCGTGAACTGTTGTAGACAGAATGTGCAGCAAATTGGTTGTGATCTGGTGCCTAAATGTTATGCTTCCATCCTATTATGTGTATGTATATAAACCAAAAAAAGTTTCCTTGGGACTTTAAGGCATAACATTGAGTAGATTAGATCCAAAAAAAGATGATTTTGAGTGTTACATGAAGCTTTTACAGATTGAAAGAAACAGCAGGTCAGATATACACTATGTTGCCAAACCTGCCTTTACATGCCCATGAACTTGAATGGCATCCCAGTCTTGGTTCCATAGAGTTAAATATTGAGTTGGCCCACCCTTTGCAGCTATAACAGCTTCAAGTCTTCTGTGAAGGCTGTCCACAAGGTTTAGGAGTGTGTCTGTCTATGGAAATGTTTGACCATTCTTCCAGAAGCGCATTTGTGAGGTTAAGCACTGATGTTGGACAAGAAGGCCTGGCTCACAGTCTCCACTCTAATTCATCACAAAAGTGTTCTATCAGGTTGAGGTCAGGACTCTGTGCAGGTCAGTCAGGTTCCTCCACCCCAAACTTGCTCATCCATGTCTGTATAGACCTTGCTGTGTGCGCGGTCATGTTGCAACAAGAAGGGGCATCCCCAAACTGTTCCCACAAGGTTGGGAGCATGAAACTGGGAAAGATGTCCTGGTATGCTGACGCCTTAAGAGTTCCCTTCACAGGAACTAAGGGGCAAAGCCCAACCCTGAAAAACAACCCCACACCATAATCCCCCCTCCACTAAACTTTACACTTGGCACAATTCAGTCAGGCAACCACAATTCAGTTCTTGCAACCACCAAACCAGACACGTCCATCGGATTGCCAGACAGAGAAGCATGATTAGTCACTCCAGAAAACACGTCTCCACTGCTCTAGAGTCCAGTGGCGGTGTGCTTTACCCCACTGCATCCGATGCTTTGCATTGCACTTGGTGATGTAAGTCTTTGGATGTTGCTGCTCGTCCATGGAAACCCATTTCATGAAGCTCTCTATGCACAGTTGTGCTAATCTGAAGGCCACAAGAAGTTCGAAGTTCTTCAGCTATTGAATCTGCAGACAGTTGGTGACTTCTACGCACTTCGGCATGCGCTGACCCCGCTCTGTCATTTTATGTGGCTCACCACTTCGTGGCTGAGTTGCTGCTGTTCCCAGTTACTTCCACTTTGTTATAATACTATAACAGTTACACACATACACACGTGTGTGTGTGTGTGTATATATATGTATTTTTATATATATATATATATATATATATATACACACGTCATATTTTCAATATCAATACCAAAATTTCACAATTTCTGCCCGGATATGCAAACTATTGAGCACATCTGTGTATGTATACAGGTGAAACTCTAAAAATTAGAATATCGTGCAAAAGTTCATTTATTTCAGTAATGCAACTTAAAAGGTGAAACTAATATATGATGAGACTCATTACATGCAAAGCAAGATAGTTCAAGCTGTGATTTGTCATAATTGTGATGATTATGGCTTATAGCTCATGAAAACCCCCAAATCCACAATCTCAGAAAATTTGAATATTACATGCAATCAATAAAACGAGGATTGTACATAGAACAATATTGGACCTCTGAAAAGTATAAGCATGCATATGTACTCAGTACTTGGTTTGGGCCCCTTTTGCAGCAATTACTGCCTCAAAGCGGCGTGGCATGGAAGCCATCAGCCTGTGGCACTACCGAGGTGTTATGGAAGACCAGGATGCTTAAATAGCGGCCTTCAGCTCTTCTGCATTGTTCAGTCTCATGTGTCTCATCTTTCTCTTGGCAATGCCCCATAGATTCTCTATGGGGTTCAGGTCAGGCGAGTTTGCTGGCCAATCAAGCACAGTAATCCCACGGTCATTGAACCAGGTTTTGGTGCTTTTGGCAGTGTGGGCAGGTGCCAAGTCCTGCTGGAAAATGAAGTCCGCATCCCCATAAAGCTCGTCTGCGGAAGGAAGCATGAAGTGCTCCAAAATCTCCTGGTAGACGGCTGCATTGACCCTGGACTTAATGAAGCACAGTGGACCAACACCAGCAGATGACATGGCTCCCCAAATCAACACAGACTGTGGAAACTTCACACTGGACTTCAAGCAT